ATTTTCTGCTCTGTCGTTTCTTTTCAGAAGGGATTAACAGGACAGGGCTGCTGTGTGACAGGCAGAGGGGAGGCAGAACAGGTAGATAGGAGCGGGAGGGAGGAAATGAGAGGAGGAGGTGGTCGGAGGGGAGCGGAGGGGTTGCACTTTGTGTTTCAGCTGTCTCAGGCAATTATGTGAGACAGAGTATGACAAACTCTGATTTGTGTGTGTGTGTGTGTGTGTTTCAGCCCCCCAGTGGAACTAAAGTGTTTGCTGTTTCACTTCCAATAATAAATGTATCTTGACATGTGAAGGCATATTTTAACTCCACGGTTCAGTCATAAGTTTTAGTTTCTTAATTATGCCTTCATTCCATTGATACACAAAACAAGTGTTTCATGTTTTAATGAACTAACTTTCAGGACAGATCTGCAGTTTATTAGTCATTTTACAGGGGAGTGTGTTTAAATGAATTATGTGTACAATAATTAATTGCAGTGTCAGGGACTTTTTTTGTTTTTCACTAAGGACTTTAGCTGCATAAATCATTGCTTTGGATTAAATAGTTCTACTCTGGGGGTTTTTTAAGCAAGCTACAAATGGGCTGTAAATTATTCATGATGCAAAAATCCAGCAAGAAAGCCATGGAACAATCATCAGATGTTGTTGTTATCGTTATCTCTTAGTTCTGCTTTGCTGTGTTGTCAAAATATGGAATGATCCAAGTACCTGGACACAAAACTATTGTTTTATCTCATTCTAATTTACTTCAGTTGAGTAGCACAGAGGTCATGTGACAACTTGGATGCCCAACTATTGGCCAGAGCTTCACTTTTCTGTGGCACTGTATGCTTTAAGTTGGCATTTTGCTTAGTTGTTACCTTTGTCCTAATCGATTACAAAAGAAAAAATGTCAAATGTACAGTTGCAAATATTGACCACTCCACCATTAAAATTCCTGAGAGGATTATTTTTATTTGATTCAATTGTTTATTTTTTAGGAAAGCCTATATTCCTATATTTTTGGGAGGGGATCGATTGTCTGTGACAGTTTTCCAGATAAAATATTTTGTAGCCAAGCTGTGGAAGTTTAGGACACAACTGTGAAAGCAGGGGTTTTTTGAGGTTGCGCTTGTCTCAGCTCATCAGTCTCACAGGAATAAACCCTTGACAGCATCAGGCTCAACAGAAAATTCTGGCATCACGCATGGCCAGTGATGTGTGTGTGTACTGTGGTGACCTCTCACCCTCAACTCCTCTGTCTGTCTCTCTATTTCCAGGCCTCCCCAGCCGCCCTGGCGAAGAGTGTTTTGGCAGAAGTCCCTAACCAGGTGGTGGACTACTACAACGCAAAAGGCATCAAACCCAAGTGCATGTCAGACTACGAGTCCACAAGAACATTCAGCCCCTGACAATGGACTACTTACATAAATACCCGCAGTATACACATATACGATATATCATAACATGTATATACAAATATAAAGACATTTATTTACTGTACTATACCTACCTATAAACATGCAAAAGCACAAGCAAATAGACACAAAACATTTACACACAATGGTACTATATACTAATACAATAGACTAGCTCAGAGATTTAGCTCGTTCTGGTGAAACTACTTTAACTACTACATTGATGACTATTGCATGAGTGGCATCACTTGAGATGCTATTACTTACTAACTGTATATTGGAAAGATATTTGTAGAATTAAGAACGTCTTCTGAGCCAGCATGCAGTCTCAATCCTGACCCCGCCCAAACAAATGACACTCTTACCTTATTCAGATAACTAGCAAGTTGTACATGGACAAAGATATCTGTGGAAAGACTAAAATATGCGATGCTCTGTGTAAGATATGTGACCCAAAATGCTTAGGATTAGAATTGCAAATCTAATTACAGGACTAGTAGCAACCCCGGTAATGTACTGCATAAATGCATGCATAATTCTGCTCCTAATAATATCCACTCCCCACTTCCTGCTTGCTAGTTATGAAATAAAGTATCTCTGTCATTTAAGCGACATCCAACGTTGTCTCGGGAGTTTTGGGTTCTTTTCTACAGATCTGTCTGATGTTTTGCTATATAAAAATAAACTACTGAAAAATTGTAATAATTTCTTAATAACCTTCTTACATTGTAAAGAGTTTTGGGTGGATAGACCAGTGTGTGTGGTAGACACTCATGTGAAAGAAAAAAAACATTTTCTGTATTCTGCATGTTGATTCTAATAAAGGCACTACATTTTTTCTCAACTTCGTTTTGTTTACTGTTTTGTTTTCATTGGTTACTCAGAAATTGCACACTTTCTTCCACATACCTATGTAAATAACGATGTCCTTTAATAGAGTTAACAGACATGATTAACAAAGATTTAACTAAAGCTGTACTAAACTGTGTCTGTTTATCTATGTATATATATATATATATTTATATATAGTAGCATCAACAACAATTTAATGATAACAATAATATATTAATATATACCTATATACCTGTTCAAAACGGAGTTTAAACAGAGGAAATAATAATGATAAAATGATAATAAAACAATAAAACAATACTTTATTATTATTATTATTATTTTGTGGATGTCATAGCGGAACCTTTTGCTCTGTGGCTCAGCGGAACTGTTTTGATCACGTACCGGAAGTAGTCAGGGTGACATTTGGAATAGGACGAAAGCGGAGGCATGTTTGCACTGAACTTGTGACATGCCTCATCTCTTATCTTAATGCGTTTTATTGTGATTTATGGTTAAATTTGTCTGCTAAAGAACAATATGGCCTCGTGGACCTGTCGATTTCTTCTTCGGCGAGGAACTCGTCTCCTTTCACAGCGGTCGGCAACTAAAAGGTAGTCAGTGCTAATCGGCTAAGCATATAGCTGTTGTGAGCTTCGGCATGCAGCTAGGGCTAGTGGTAGTCTGTGAACGAAAACTGTCATGGATTTGAATTACTAAATATGTTCTTTTAAATTAAAATTAATTAATTAAAACATGTAGTCATTATTCATTCACAACACCTGTTGCCTCTGTACAATTAATAACAAACAAACTATACTTGTATGACTTGCAGTTCTAAATAGCCAGGAATATAGAGTTATAATTAGTGTTATGCGTAATGTCTGGATGGGTTGTTTCTCATGGTGTTGTCCGTCTGTCACAGTCCTCTTCAGTTATTGGGCTGTGTAAGAACAGTGAAGAGCACGACATGGTTCGATGAACACCTCACAGAAGACAATACAGAGTATATGAGGAAGAGCATCAGTGAAGAATACAGGAAGATGACAGCTGACAAACTCAACCCACTCAAAGATGAACCTTGGCAACGACATGAATGGACAGAGGGTGAGGCTTCACGTCATAACATTATACCATGTTATCGCATATTATTGTGTATGAGGCTAGCCGCTGTATTTATTGGTTGTAATTTTTCCTTGCAGGCAGTCGGAGGGTGGGTTTAGTGGCTCTGAAGTTGGGGATGATGCCCATATGGACAAAAACAGGAGAAAGACATGCAGTCACAATGTTGCAGGTAATTGTTGTTGTTTTGCCACAGTCTACAGATTTTACATTCAATGAGCTGGTCACGCTTTACAGGAGTAATGGCGTTTGTATTGTTTGTACTCTATAGTGAAATGACGAGCAGGTCAGATAAATTGGATTGTTCTGTGAAGTGTGCGAGAAAAAATAGCAAACTATTGAGCACGTTCACAACTGACCTGCTGACTTTGCTCGCAATCGCACATTTGAAATGCTTCAACGACCCACAACAAAGTGTGAAAGCAGATATTTGATGTCGGGTCCAGGCTGGTGCCGCTTTGACCTCATTTATTTTTCTGTGGGTGAAGTGAATTAGAAGCGTGAGTGTTGACTTGTCTTCTTTATTGACGATGACACGTCAAAGTGGGAAACATAACAGAGTCGATTTGTTCTTTCAGTAAACGTGTCCGTCAGACTTTGTTCAACGTCTGTGATGTTTGGTTCAAGGCCGTACAATGTCATCACTACCTGCTTATTTCCTGATTTTTGTTCTTGCAAAAAATGTTCTCATTGCAGCTGAAGAAAAACTATTTTATGTAATTAATATTTCAATTGATTCACTTTTTGTTTTTAATTTTGTGTTGTGTTTTTTAAGACTGTTTAGATGTGATACTTAGAATGTTTTACCCAAGTAACTAAATGTAGTATTATCTCTTTATATAGAATATTAAAACTGACTTTTTTTCAGGTGCAGGACTGCCATGTAATAAAACATCTTTCCAAGGAAGAGTTTGATGGACGCACAGCTGCACTTGTTGTGGGAGGAAAAAATGTATCACCGTTCTATGTAAGAAATACAGTGAAACACAACTCAGCTTTTTTTTTTCACTCCAATAAAGTTTACTGCTGATGTACACAACATCATAAAGCTCCTGCACTCCAGTAAAAATGTAGGAGGGAAGCAGTTGTATATGACGCGTCAGTATAGTGAGTTTATTTTATGGACCTAATTTGTAAAATGATGCATTTGAGTTTAAGAGATGCACCGGTTCATTTGAAGAAGTCGACATGTGAAAATCTTGAATTTATCCTTAAAGATATTTATGACTTTGCTACGTTATTTAATCAGGGACTCGTAGCAGTGAAAGATTAAGTTACACTATCACATCTCTGACCTTCTATATCCCAATGTTCTGCTGATATTACAAAATATTAGTCACCTTAAATGTCCACCTCTGTCAGGCAGCTTTTAGCCACAGGAGAAAAGATCTGATTGTCAGAAATAATGCAGAAAAACGTGTAGATTTGATTGAATTTACCATCTATGGAAGATGCTGGTTCTATTCTGTCAACTTGGCTGATGAACAGTCTCATTAAAACACTGCTGAGTTAATCTGTCGGAGTTCAACATCGATGCTCACGTCACTGGATAAAAGAAAAAAAACTTCAATTTTCATTTTTTTTGTTACTGAGCTCTTTTCACTGGAAATGCTCTTATCAATGTGGGCTGTTAATTCAGGAAATTATACTCGCCCTCTTACTGACATATTTCATTATCGGTGTCTAAATGAATGGAGATACAGGACACTTTATTGCTTCTTCTTGCCACATTGCATCACAGCTGTGGGAAAACTGTCTACTATCCACTGTTCTGTCTGCTGACTCTCAGATTTCAGTCTTTCTTTAGTTTAATCAAAACTAAAACACTAAGAGCTGACAATTATAGACTCCTCAGTTCCCTGGAAAACCTGAACCACAAAGTGCAGCCTTCTGTAAAGAAGCTGTCTCAGAAAAAAACACCTCTTTAGTATGTGAAGGGGATATTTAGTGTGAAAATGTCACATCCATCTTTCTAAGATAAATAAAAAGAACAGGGATGAATACATCAAAGTGTAATTTATTCATTGACTCTTGATGGATGCTTGATGCATCAGAGACAAGGTTTCAATTGTCAGTGCTGGAGTTGTTTTGAATCTCTCTGAGTCGTGTTACCCTTCAGTCAGAGTCAGACTTTCTGAGCCAGGGTTTTTTTTTTGCAGACCTGTTCTGATTGAACAGAAGGAGAGAGAGGGAGCTGGATTGACTGGTGGGGTTTAGATGAGAGCGAGCCGATTTAAAAGCAAATGTCAGACACTCGCTGCCAAGTCTGTGTTCGTGTGCCTGGGAGTGTGTCTGGGCTTCCATACGGCCGTGACAGTCCCAAGGTTGATTTCAAAATGCCAAAGTCCAGCTGCGATTGAGTGCTGGTACTTTTCTTACTATTCACCTCCCTTGTTTTTTTGTGAGCTTGTCTTTCACTCATTTCATCTCTCTAACTGACAGCGTTCCGAGGAGCACATGGAAATGTTCATGAATGCAGGTGTGCCGCCCAAACAGAAGGTCACCACCTTCAAAGTCTCAGACAATGCTGTCATCAAGCCTGGTACGCGCACACACACACACACCATCCTGACCTTTTTGTCACCTTAGCTGTGTATTTGTTTTAAAAAATGTAATAAAAAATGTTGTCTGCAGGCACTCCTCTTTATGCTGCACATTTCCGTCCAGGCCAGTATGTGGACGTCACTGCCAAAACGTAAGCTCCGATCTAACACTTTGCCCAAGTCACTGCTGTTCTCCGTCCTTGGCTTAGACATCAGTTTTGTTAATTAATTGTTTGTTTTGTCATTAAAGGATTGGGAAAGGATTTCAAGGTGTGATGAAGCGATGGGGCTTCAAGGGTCAGCCAGCCAGCCACGGTCAGACAAAGACCCACAGAAGACCAGGAGCCTCTGGACCTGGGGTTTGTATGACACATGGAAGGACACTGGTTAAATATAACATGACCACTTAGAACCTTGAACTATTTTCAAGGCACAAAGACACTTTATTTTACCATGAGTCAAAGTCGTGTGCAGTTGATGCAGACTTTTAAGGGCCTCCAGGATCATATCAACCCTCACACCAGTCGGCTGTTTTTCTGTAAATTCTTGCTTTTAATTTTCCTCACTTGCCCAGTACAACAGTACACTAAGTCCTTCTATCTCTGCCTTTTCTGATTGTCCTCTGGTCAGGCACTTCCTTCTTTACATGTCTCTCCAGCACCGCTCTCCCACTCCTGCTTTATCACTCACGCTGACAGGCGAATATGGAGGAGTCTCAGAGGATTCAGATAGCTTTCAGCGTAAAGGGCTGATGTTTTAGGTCACTGAGCACTGTCAGTGAGAAAGAAAAAAAAAAAAGAGAATATTGGGCCCGATATAGACCGAGTTTTCTTACTTGTTTTCCTACGTTAGTTTCTAAACACAACTAGATGTTAATTATTAAAAAATATCTGGTTGACGTTTAATTGTTTTTTCCACCTATAACTTGGTCAAAATATTAGTAGCATGAACTAGTTGCTTAGTGTGTCTTGGTCAATTATTCGTCATCAGAACAGCTGTATTTCACTATACCTCAGTGTCAGCTGCATGCTAAGCTGTAAGGCAGTTAGCAACTCACCCTGTTTGTCATGCATTTGACTTTTTGTTGAGCATGTCTCTGGGCATGGTCTTCCTGATGGACAGCTTCCCATTTGTGAGTGCTTCAGATTGTGCCATGGACAAAGTTAGGATTTTCCAATTTTCTGTAAAGAGGGGAAATGAGATGTTGGCCTTTTAACCTCACGCTGTTCACACGTGAGTCTGTGCTGTGTTTGGAGTTGGTTTGGAAGACCTAAATGTGTAACAAAGGTTGTTTGTCCTTCGTCTGCACTTAGGGACCATCCAGAGTTATGAAAGGGAAGAAGATGCCTGGCCAAATGGGAAACCGTTATAACACAGCACATGGACTCAAGGTAAATAAACACAAAAGGAGGTACACAAAGTTTTGACTTTGGATTTTTTTTTTTTCCAACCTCGACTATAATGTAATATTTTCCCATCTGTCTCTCCCTTCAGATATGGAGAGTCAATACCAAGTATAATATACTGTATGTGCACGGCACCGTGCCTGGTCACAAAAACTGCTTACTGAAGGTAAAGAAATATTCATGTGTATACAAACACACACACACACACACACACACACACACACAGGCATGAACACACTTATAGTTGAGGATCGACCTCTCGCATGCCTCGTGTTCTGAAGGAGACCAATGACCTTGCACCTGCAAACCACAGACACACCTGCAAAACAGTGTGATCCATCTTTGATGACACTGCACTGGAGCAGCTCTGTGTGTGTGTGTGTTGTGTGTGTGTGTAGGAATGAGCGCGCTTGTGCCTTAATGATGTTAGTAATATCCACAGCATCAATCTCCACGCGCCTCTGTGTGTGTAACCACACACCCACGGTCATTTATTTGTTTTGCACACAACCAATAATGAATACAAATGTGCGTCCTATCTCATCCAGCTCAGCTGTTACCCACAAACACAAAGACACACACGGAATGCATACTGTAGTAGCAAAGCAGTAAGTAGATTAATCTTTAATTGTACTTATATATATGTATATATATATACACACACACACACACTACACAGTACAATTTAAACTGAGCCATTCTAAAAGCCTGGTGCTGGACAAGGAGTCTGGAGAAAATGTTGTTATCCAACCAAATTAGTCATCAAATGTGTTCGTTCTGATGTGTGAAACTGACACTGAGCCTCTCACAGCTCGCCAACCCTGGCACTGCAAAGGTGTGAATGTCTAATTACGGGTTTCGTAAAGTTACCAAAATTGAAGCTTCTCGACGTGGTTGTTGTTGTTTTTTTTTATGTTCAGTAAAATAGGTGTCAGGAAATGATTCACAGCTTATCTGGTCAGAGAAATGACCGTGACACCATTTCCATCATAGTAATAGTATCATGTGCATGAAAGTAAAAATACATTATCAAAACTCTTTGGCTCTCAGAGGTCAAAGGTATATATTTTTAATAGCACAATGCTTCACGCTAGAACGAGATTTCATACGTGAAGACGCAAACTTCCTGTTGAGTGACACTGTAGTGACAAGGATGTACAAACACGCCGACGGGTCTGCAGATATCATCAGAGGGAGACAAAGGACACATTCAAATGCTGGAGCAGAAGGACAAGGAGGGAGACTTTTTATCAGATCACGTCAGGAAGGTGGACAGAGCAGCTTTTGCACCTTCATGTAGTTGATAAATTAGTTAGGGTTATTCAATTTGATTAGATCTATTTATTTTAATTAAACAACTTCAGGGCAACAGGGGCTGAAATTGCATCTGTAGTTTTGAATTAGAAAAATGTCGATGTTATTTGTCAAAGTACGCAGCATCAGAAGAAGGACGTCAAGTTTTTTTTCATACCTGAACCTGTGTTTTTGTTGTTTCACAGCTTCACTTCTAAAGTTTGACTTTGTCTGTTGTACATTCCAGGTGAGGGACACCGTGCTGCCAACTAGAAGCTCCACACTGCTTAATCTTCCATTCCCAACCTTCTTCACCGAAGAGGAAGCAGACCTGGATGAAGACCTGTATGCTGAAGACATGTTTGTGCACACAGAACCATCGTTAACACTGACATGACCACATAACATTCACACCAACACACACCCGCACAATACTCACATCTATGCTTGTAAAGAGTACCACAGGCCTGCAGTAAAAATAATAGCTTAGAGTGTCTACTGCCTCTCTTATTTACGTGTGTGTGTGTGGGGGGGGGGAGGTGCGCGCGATTAAAGCACGTAACCAGACGGTTTGATCTAAACAGTTATTGTGGCCCTTTCCCATGAAACCATGGTAACTGTAGAAGTGATGATGTCACTAGAGGGTCCCCGAGCAGAGAGAGAAAAGTAGGCAGTGAAACAAAACAAGATGGAAAAAAAGGGCACATATGAGAAAAATGTGAAATATTTGTGCAGGACGCAGGCTGGAAGATAGGAAGGCGAGGGTGGAGTGAGGAGGGGGCCTGGATACAATGAGTTGCAGAAAGCGGAGTGAAAGACTGAGGGGAATGTAGAAAAGAAGGCAGGGGTGGAAGGATGAATGGCCCGACGGCATGGAAGGAAGTACAAAGACGTATAAAGCGTGAGGGAGAAAGGAGGGTGAGGTGACATGCTGAAGGTGAGGAGGCTAGCTGAAGAGGGGACGGGGGGAGGCAAGGATGGGTGCTGACAAAGGTTGACATTTGTGCATAAGAGGATAAATGATATTAATGTTGCAGCAGGAACTGCTGGGGGCTTAAGTGTGTGTTTAGCTGCTGGTAGGGTGCTGCCAGGCGCTGACGAATCCCCATTCAGCATCTGACGGACCACTCCTCGCTTTTATGGGGCAATGAATAAATGAGAAGCAAGTCCATTCTTGTTTAGAGTAAACACATCCTGTGTGGACTTCAGTCCCAGTCTCTGCCAGAGTCTGCGCTGAATCTGCTGTTTAATTGACAGCAGCAGAAACCGGGCTTTTTGTCAGAGACTTTGAGGCGAGGCAGCGATCCCTCTCAGAGAGTTCTGCAGCAACTGCATCAACACACGAGCGTCAGTGCTTTCCCTCTAATTGAAACAACACGATAACTGGTTTGCTCAGAAAACCTCAGCCACCCGTAGTTGTCGCGGTGATAAAAGATGCAACGTGATGATGCACTTTGAAGCAGACTACGTCCAGCTCCGTTCAACACGCCACGACTTGTACCATAGGTTCATGAAGCAGCAGGAGCAGGAGCTCTTTGAAATGGTAATGATATTTTTTTCAAAGTCTTGCTCTGTAGAGCCTGCACATCATCAGGCACTTGTGGGGGTGGACAAGAGGAGAGCAGGCAGAGAATGTAGGGTAAGGAGGGAGTCTTTGCCTGTTAAAGCAGTAGAGCAGAAAGACGAGACGACGAATCCTGGCCTTGTTTCTGTAAATGTTGTCTCCGCTGACTTTCTTAAGATGTGTACTCCAGCTGAGTGTAATGGACCGTTCACTTCCTCTGTGCATAACTAGGTTGGTCAGTTTTAGCAGTTCTTCCTCAATTTCGGGAGACAGAAAATCATTTGTGCATATAATCTAAAGTTTAATGTACTTTAAATACCGTTGTCTCCAAACTACATTCAGTGAGAAACTTGCTGTGAATGAAGTACGTCATAAAGAACATCACTGCAGTTTAATACTCTTCCTTGTGTTAACTTTCCCTCTTCCAGCAACTCTCCTCCACGTTCACCTTAGCCATTAACCAGACAGATGGCTTCACATCCTATCAGTCGGTTTCTGCCACAAATGTTTCTTCCTTTTGTGAGAATCGAACCACTTCTTTACACTGATATTCAATACCAATCCAATGTCGTATTTAGCATTTCTTTAATTTGCAATCTCGACATGAAAATGGCTTCTCTAGCAAACTCTCTGCACATTTACCATTAAGAATCCAATTTTAAAATATAAGTTTTAATTTATAGCTATACAAATTAATTAACTAGCCACAATTTGTCCACAATAAGCATTAATCTTGCATTAGGCAAAATTAATCAAAAATAGCCAAGTCAAAGGGGAAAAGCAAAATTTAACCAATCATGTATCCAGAAAAAGTTACTGCGAATACTTTGTACAAACTACTCAGACAAAACCAGACAGAAGTTGAATAAAGTCTGACAAAAAGTTATACTATATTCTAAAAGGAAAACTGTGCATTAAATAAAACTATCCCATTTTTCCCCTAAAAAAATTCTAATTGTGTTTTTGTTGATCAAAGATCCCCTTTTCAGCTATAAAAAGACAGTCCCTTATACTGTATTACACCCTTGTATTAGTGTTTGCTAATTCTAGTGTGCTCACTTTTTTCTTGCAAACACCAGAAAGATAAAGGCTCCAAGGTTCCGAAAACTAAATCAGCACTGAGTGGAAAAAAAAGCACAAGATTGCAAGTTGTTAAATTTAAGTTCCAGCCCTTTTATCGACTTTCCTTATATCGGATTCCCAGCTGCATTTACATTTGCTAATTAGAGAGCGAGGGAAAGGTTTGGCTGAAGCTGAATTTTGCAAGGAAATGATTTGGAGGGTGTGAGTGAAGGTCAGTGTGTACGACTGTGATGGATCTACGGCTGTACTTCTGCTGGCTCCACACATGAGGATATCCATTAGTAAAGAGGACACACACACACATGCATTCATACACACATTGATACACACATATATCCACTCATCAAATGCTTTGCACATACACATGCTATACTTTACCGTCTCCTTAGTAGGCAACATCCGACATCCAAGAATGGTCAGCACTTACGCTCCCATTTCCTTGCACAAAAAGTGCTGGCCTGACCTGCGGAAAACACACGCACAGGAGAGCGAGAGAGAATGTGTGTGAAGCTGTGAGCTTAGCCGTATGAATTATTGAGTGTGTTATTTGAGGGACAGCTGGCTGTTGAACACATTAACTCTCTCAGTGAGACAGAGGGTTAGGAGTTAGCAGAGTCACTAAGCAGGAGGAAGGAGGAAAATGAAAGAATGTTAATAAAACACATTTTATGCTAATGTTATTAGGACCAAAGTCATCGCAGCCTCAAAACAGAGCGGCTTGTGTCACATGTGAGGTTCATTACGGAGCCTCAGTTGGATTGTTTGCTCTGCTATTCCCAAACCTTCATTTTCTGTCACTTTTGGATTTATTTAATTATGTTCTGACACTTATTGCAGCTTCCACAGCTTGATGAAGAGGGAGTCATTATCATGTGTTTGTGTTTATTTGGATTATGATAATTTAGTTCAGTAACAGCCATTTCATTAGGGTATAAATGGTAGAGTGAGAAGCAGCCTGCTGCTTTTTTTTCTTTTTCACTATCACCGTGCATCCCCCTAAGCCACTCTCCTCTGCGCCCATGGTCCTGCTGTGCCAAGCCCCACTCAAAAGTGCACACCTGCGTCGCATGAGAGAAAGCATGTATGTGTGAATGTGTGTGTGTGTTCAAATGTCTGTTTGTTCCATGCCCCCCACCTGTGTTGGTAAATTTGGTTTCCTTCCTCCCAGCACCACTGGGTGAGGGCAGGGTGCAGCCCCAGGCTCTCCACCTTCTCTACAGGTGGTTAAATGTGTTGGTGTGTGCTGGTTCTTGATGCCTTTTCAGGACCACGTTGGTAGCATTAGTGATTTATTTTTAGTTTAAAACTGTTCCTAATCACCATGCAGACTGCTGCTGTGGCGACCCCTAATGAGGGGAAAACCATAAGCAACAGAAATCCTTCTTTATTTTTACATGAAGTCTCTAGGACTACATCAGTAACTATATAGTAGTATTGAATCATGTTGTACCATACAGCTACAATCATTTAATCCATGTCCCTCAACACAAAAATGTGGCCACCCCAGTCTGTTCCAGAAAAAGTATCAGTCCAAGTACAAGTCCAAGTTAAATAAAGAAAATGTGAGGTGTGTCTGTGTCCCTCCCCTCCTGCCTGTGTCTGCTGTGGTAATCAGTGTGATCACACTCACCTGTGTCATTAGGTCGTTAGTCTCACTCATGTCACCTGGTGCCTTCATGTCTTCAGGTCACGTCTATGCTTTGTGTATTGCTCCTCTGAGATCCTGATTCTTAATGCCTGGAGCTACTATCCCATGAAGTGAGTGTGTTCTTTTTTTTAACTTTGTTAATGAACTTCCTGCTCCTGATCTTGCTCTGCTCCTGAGAGCTGCATTTGAGTCCTGCCTGCTTCCTGCAATCCTAGAACGTGGCAGAAAAAGTCGCATTTAAGTCTTAATAATTTCAGTAAACAAATGATGGTTTGAGTTGAGTCCTGAGTCAAGGGCCAATAGGTTCAAGGACAAGTCAAAGTCTGTGTTCTGGTCATTGGTGTGTTTGAGCAGTGTAGTACTACAGCACTGATGGGTTGGTGCTGAGAGGGTTAAAGGTATAGGCTGTGGTTGTCTGAGGTCAATGCAGTCTTTATTAAACTAGCTGCTGAGGTAACAATGAGTGTGTGTGTGTGTGTGTGTGCTGTTTCTAATTTACACTCTCTCACAGACCTGTCACCTACTGTCTCTCACTCTTCCCCCTCAATTAAACCCTGTACCTGAAGATCTGAGTCATCTCTTTTTTTCTTTTTTTTGTGCCAACTGAGATACAAAGTTTAGTAGTTTCATTAAAAAAAAAAAGGAAACTTTTCAAAAAAAACCTGGAATACAAAGGTCATCTGGGAATGTGTACCATGAGACCTTTTCCTAACCAAAAAGACGTGGACAGGTGGGGCAGATAAGGTTCATCGCCCCATTACAGGTGCAAATTATCTGCATTAACCCTTTAACTGATTTTGCGTTGACCTGCTCTTTAAATGTGTGCATTATTTTGTAGGTCTTAAATGAACCATGTTGTGACTGTGAGGTAAATGTCAGAGGTTTTCAGCCGGAAACCTTCGCCACAAGAATGTGACCACGGGACATCGAGTAAATCAATATGGAAGCCAAGGGAGAGGGCGAGGGGGGGGGCGGTAAAGAGAGGGTAACGTTGCAGAAGGGGAGAGACAAAAAGACAGCAGACAACAGGGGAAAAAGTGCGGGAGACAATGGGAAGGCAGGGGAAGGTGAAGAAGAGTAAACCCAATCTGGAGAGATTGTATATTTTTGGCGATGACAAATCTACTGTTACAGGACTTTTTCTGCCCACGGCTCAAACTGTAGACCCAATGTCATTGTGGTGTACTGTGCTGTGTAAACCCAGTCCACCACATTGACCCAGGACATTGATGTTTTTGGGCTCCAGTTTAAGACGTTTAAGACGATATGACAGGTTCTCAGCTGTTAGCCTTTGTGAAAATTTGAAAGTCGCAAACTAAACATTTGTTTACTTGATTGGACAACTTCTTGAGTCACAAAAATACTATGAATATTTATTGCCTTAAAGTTGTTACTCACTGGTCTGGAAACTTAAACAAGCAGCTGCTGTGTGAACAACAAGCTTAAGATAAAAGGGAGGAGAAAGTCTCTGAATGCATAAACAAAAAAATTTGAATTAAAAAGAAAATGAGTGAAGATTAGTGATGTGAGATGAGACTGGAGATTTTCTGAGGAGTTTTGTTGTAATTGTAAAAAGTACACAAGGTTGCCTTAAGAATTTTGCAAACCCCTTAATATGTGTAAATGCCAGTTTATTACAGTAAGTACTATACTTATAATTCAAACCCTTAAGCCTCGTGTGACATTTGAGAATGTTATTTATTTGCACAATTCTTTTGTGGAGCAAAGATTCACACAGTTCCCATCCTCTGAAAGTAGGCGTTGTCGTGGAGAGGTCATAAAAGCACCAGCAGGAAGACAGACAGTGGGTGGGGTCTGTGACTACGACCCTCCAGAGAGAGCAAAGCGAATTAAAACTTTTTAAAACTCGCAGCACACAGCATCCACCATCGCAGCTTCATGCTGACTGTGTGTGAAACAGCAGATATGTTGGTCTCACTGATCACTTCAGGTTCTACAGTCAGCAGTCTGCGCCTGTAGGTCAGAAGATACAGTCACTTTTCACTATGTACGTTAAAGAAGGCAGATGACAGATCCAAGCTTTGGCAGAAGAATTCAAAAAATTACACTACTAATTAAATTCACTTGAATTAAAAAAACTGTGAGGGTGGGCTGCCATCATTCTAGAAAAAAAACATCTGATCTGCGTATGTGTGTGTTTGAGCTTAATGGTGTGTGTGTTTCACAAAGCAGACGGAATGAGAGATGGAACGAGTGACCTGACACGATTGGGTTGAGGGGACATATTTTGAATATGTACAGTGTCATAATAAGACAGATGACATTGTGAGGACATTTTTGGTTCGTCGCTACTTTAAGACGAGACATGATTACTTAGGACAAGGGAGAGATTAAGAATTTGTTTATGATTAAGTTTGGGGTTGTATATTTTTCAAAATAATATCGATGACTTCTTAATATCCTCAGGAGGATTGGGAAACGTGCGTGTGTGGCAGTAGGGATGTGTGTGTGTTATGAAGAGAGGGAGGGACATGGAGGGAGCAAAAGAAAATTGCATTTGTTTCAGGTCAGCAAAAACACTTAGCAGCCTTACTTAAAGAGACAGTAATGAATTTGTAGCTAAACCACAAATACAGTACGCACACACATACACATTATTAGTAATGTTGGCAGGGGTCTAATGGGATGCCCCAAGCGCCTAACCACAAACCTAACAATCACCACTAAACACTTTAACCCCAGAGGCAAGTTTTAACGCTGCAAAAGTTGCATCCCTCAGAGAGAACCTCACTTTCTCACCTACTGATTTAAGCTGATGTATCATCAGCCCAGCAGATTACATGGTTACACACACACACACACACACACACACACACGGCTTTAAACCTGTGCCTTATCTCAGCAGCACTCGTCTTTCCTGCAGATCTTGTGTGATAAACATGAGACTGCTGCAGATAACTGTGGACTATGATGAAATGATCAGTTATCACAGCATCATGTTGATTCAGCACACAGTCCCTCAGTCGGCTCAGGGAATGCTAATGAAGATGCAGATCAGTGGCCTCACTGTGCCTGCTGCTCCGATCTGCCTTTACAGTAGCAGCGACCACTGGACGGTGGTGCAACACTGGCCTACAGTGGCATAAGTTGGAACTGCATTTAGGCACACGCGGTTGCGCAGTAAAGATTGATCAAATGATCCATTAAATGTTAATAATACTTTACTGTACAAATATTTAATCGTTTAAATTTCCTCTAAGGCAAATCAGTGGAATTACATACAGATTTATTTCTTAGAATTGCACAAATTTTATTACGATGTAATTAAATTAAACGCACCCAATTTCGAAAAGATTTCTACTGCACTTCAAATTCTGCTGTAATTCCCCTGACTCTGACATTAAACATACCTTGCCGTCCTCAGGTGACGTGATAACTGATGACGTGTTTGATATCTTTGACTGTATATTTGAATTAACGGCCGATATATTTTCAATAGACAAACATATTAATATTTTTTTAGTAAATTATTGTTGTTAAAACTCTATCCCAAATTTATTTCGAATGAAAAAAATATATATAAAAAAGAACCAAATTTTTACCAGTTACTTTTACAGCAAGAAACGCCTCGCAATACACACTCTGCCCACAAGGGTGTGACAGAGACTTTTGATGTATTTTCTGGCTCTAGGGAACATTAAATATCTAAATTATTGTTGTATTTCGTCTTCTTAATAGTTTTTGCTTTATTTCATTCAGCTTTCCACACAATTCTGAATCCATAACTGCACATTTTTGACATTTCACAATTTAATATGGGTTAGAAACATGTAAAAACATATCAAAATATTTTCAATAACACTGAAAAATGCAACACATTTATATAAACGTAATGGAAAGTGTTAGGTTATGTTACAAACGTTCTATAAAACCTTTAAACTTTTTTTAAACATTTCAACTTGTTGTATGGCACTAACGTCATGAGAGAAAGAGAGTTGGTTTGCATGTTGTGGTTTAATTCTATTTTGTGTTCATGAGTGCAATAACCTGAGTTTTAAGAGTTGAATTACTCTAAGGTGTCTGTGACTGTGTGGTGACGACACAGTGGTTTTAGAATTTAGTTTCATAAAGGTCAGTGGTGAATACACAGTTTCACTGGCTCTGTGGATCAGGGGCAGGTGCTTCATTCATCCTCTCGGTATAAATCTAGCAAAGCAGGTACAAACAAGGGTGATGGATGAACTATGGTTGTATAAATCACTATGAACACAGTTAGAGCCACGATGGACATATCAGTGCACAGATTAGAACATGACAAATGTTTGTTCGCCTGAATTTATGGTTGCAAGGCCAAACTAAAGTAGGTGAAGGTCCGGTCAGGAGAGTGGTGGTAGGGATCGAGTGCTGACTGGACTGTACTTCCCAGCGGCTGATGGTGATGGAGGAGGCTGGGTGAGATGAGGTGAGGAGGGAGATGGATGAATGTGTCTGCTGTTGTGCTCCCTGGAGTCGGAAGCTCGAGATCGACCTCTGGGCAGGCGTATTTGGGGTGGGGTGGAGGCAGATTTGGGCATGCACTTGTACTGGGACTGAGAGTGGTGAGAGGGCAGATGGCAGGTCGAGGATGAGAAGAACTCAGGTGCTGAATGGCGAATGGGTGATGGATGACGGGCAGCAGAGGACTGACGGTTGGGTGAGGACCGCTTTGCAGACAAGGGCTCATGGTTAGCAAGTCGATACTCCTTGGTGTTTTTGGGTAATTTGGGTGACTTAGACATCTTAGGTGACTTTGTTGGCTTGGGTGATTTGGAAATATGCTGAGAGGAAGTGTAAGAGTTTACAGGGGCAAGAATTTGGCTAGGAGAGGTAGAGTCTCCATTGTTAGTATATTTGTAGAGGAAGACATCATATTGAAGGGGTTGGCTGGTCTCTGGGTGGCGCTTGGCCTCTTTGGGGAGAAGCACCTCCAGCCCAATAGTGACTCCATCCTGATTCAGAAATAAGGCATGTAAAAATGATGCAACAATCATAAAGGTATAGTTATAAAGCAAATAAAAATTGTGATTTAACATAAAGTTCTTGATCATTTCCCTGCAAATCAACTTACCGTTAGTCTCCATGTGTTTGTTTATATTTATCGGCCTACATATTTTCAAAGAAATTTTGATTAAATGTATTGTAAAGTATTTAAATATCTTTTTACTCTTGGGACACTGTCCATGGTGCTGAAAAGTCACACGGTCACCACTTGTGCCTGGTAAAAATCTCTTAGTTGCCAACTGTTGCACTGTTGAAGCAGGGTCAGCCATGCTGGAGGTATTATTAGTGCAGCAGAAGTTATTAAGTGAAGCTTTATTGTGAGAGAGGTTTGCAGAGAAGTGACAGGAAGGAAGAAAGAAGGTCTAGAGGGGAAGTTAAGGGAAGTAGGCTCACAGGAAAACACGGGGACAAGCAGGATAAAATTAAAAAGATTTATTCCAACCACTGTCAACTATGTATACCCAAAAAGTACAAAAGAACCTCAAGTACAATAAAGTATTAGAAATTACATTGAAAAGCAAGACACGGCATGTATCATATATGTACTGTATATAGATTCAAATATCAACTCCAAGCAAATACTTTCACCTCTTATACTCTAGACATATCCACATATGAACAATCTCAAACAGGAATATTTCTCAAATACATTTTCACTTGTTTTCCACTTACTTCTTTTGCAAGTATTATGTTTTCAGACACATTTCGTTGCAAACACCAATGCATGCGAGCAGAGAGAGAGCCACAGTAAGGCAGGGGAGGCTAGGGGTGAGGGCATAGGAAAGAGAGGGCAAGGGTTTGGGCAAACAAGAGCGCAGACAATGAATAAGCAAGAGTTCATTGGTCAGAGACCAAGGCAGGGCATCAGCAGAGAGCGAGGGTCAGTCATAAACCGGTCCAAGCCAGAGATTTTAGACCAGAGAGAAACAGACAGAGTGGAGAAAGGAGGCGCTGGCGCCACTGTGTGACCAGTAATGGCATGGTAACCTCGTAAACAGGACTATTGTGCTTTTCAAATTGTTTCTTCGTAATTCATGTTGTGCTAACTTTGGAAATGAAGCCTGTTATTGAATTTGATGCTGTATAAAAACACTGCATGTTTTTTTTCAAGATGTAAACATTATTAGCCTACTGTATACAATGATATGTTGTTGGCTGTGTGCACATACAAACTTTTTAATTCTCCGGCAGCACACTTGCAGGACCTGTTCTCACACCAGGTTGTTCTGAAGCATGTTTACCTCGGCGTTTTCCTCCGTGTTGTTGGGAGTTTGGCCGTGGTCATGAACAACAGAGACCGGGCGGTTGTTTTCCTGCTTAGGTGAGTGAGAGTTGAGGATGTTCATGGAACCGTCTTCCTGGGGCTGAGGAGATTTCGCTGAGTCGTCCTGCTTCTGAGGTTCATCCTGTGGAAGAATGGGACATTTAATTAATTCATGGTAGTATGAATACATATGTGGCTACATGTTTCCCTGAGTTGGATTTAACACAAAGTTAGGATGTGTTACCTTTGTGATATTACTGTGTGTAATTGTACACCATATACACTCACCCCTAACCCCCCCCCCCCAAATATCCAATAGCTATGCTCTGACAACTTGGCTAACCTTAATATCGCTGGCTAAACTGATGTTTGATCTTCATACCCAGACCTTTATCCTATCAACTAATAACTATTTGAGCTCTCTGACATTTAAAAAACCTGCAGTGCAGACAATGATCCCTGGGGGGCTTTTTAGCCTCTGGACCTGACATTTAGAGCAACCCCACATCACAGTAAGGCGTCTGTAACGACTGGGCTGATCTGCCAGCAGAGCTCCATGAATAGTATTTGTGCCCTAAAAGGCAAGTAATAATGTTTTACCTCTGTTGACTAAACACAGAGTGACCATTGGATCGGTAATGGACACAAAGTATTTTCAAAGTGACGTGCCTCCATTTGCGGTCGTGTCAGCACTGAATGCATCGAAGTGACTAAACAGCCGTGAATAAATGTTCATGTCATCGACTGACTGGAATGTTAGAGCTTTCTGAAGGTCATGGGCACAGAGGGCAGAAAGTAGGGCAGCATTGATGAGTTAAGGTCACTGAGGTCGGACCTGACTGACAAATGCACCTTTGCAGAAAGCTGAAGGTCATCCATGTTGAACTGAGTTAGTTCTGTTGATCTGAAGTGACTCCAGTGTGTATTATTGGTAGATATCTATTTCTGCTTTTTTTGTTTTTCTGGCTTTTGTTAGCAAGAGTTTTTATTGACTACTGATGTTCAGCCATGCAACAGAAACCCTTGCAGCCTACTTTATTGGCTGGGTGACATAGTAGTAGCCAGTAAGATTGATTACCACCCAGCGGAGGCACACATTTGATATATCTGAATGCACAAAGAAACGGGTAAAACATCTCCACATTCATGTTCATGCCGCTACAGAGTGCATTTCACCATCCTGCAGCAGAGGGACAAGATGAAACCGTGCACCGTGTTAAAATGGCTGCTGGCTTACTCCCTGTTGTACTAAAGTCACATGTAACATAGACGGTAATCAAAGGGGGAAAAAATAGTTTCACTATCTACCTACTACAGAAGAACAGTTGTTTGCAGGACGTCATATAGAATTGTAATAATTCATTTCGACTACACAGGGTCCAGGGTACGCAGATAAAACCAGATATGATGCAGGAGGGAGAGGGGAGAGGTTTCACAGCTAAACTGAAAAAGGGTAAATCTATCATCGAGCAATAGCACAGAGGTATGTTTAAAATAAATAGCACAAGGACAGGGGTTGGAGGCCGGGGGGCGCTGCAGGCAATGTATACAGTATATTTCTGCTCTGCTTACCTGCAGGTGGCTATAAAGGATTCTGGGTTTATATTCCCAGGTAGAGCTGGTTGTTGGTGGTCTCTAAAGGGCATTGGTGAGTGTGAAGAGCATTGAACATACATATATATATAGATGCTGTATAAGAAAGCTGCACAAAGTGTTAGATTTAAATCAGTGAGCTCATGCCACCAGCATAAAAGTGAAGGCAAATTCTGAAGATAAAATTATTACACCAGTAAGTGACAGTGCGGGCAACACGGGCAAAAAACAAACCAAGGTAAGAGAAAAAAAAAAGAACATGCAAAGAAAAAAGAAAATCAAGCATACATATATACAAGAGTGTTTCCCAACTGTTTTTGTGCCGCGGCACATATTTTTCATTAGAAAAACCCCACGGCACACCACCAAACAAAAATCTCACAAAGAGTATATGTTATAAATATAATAATATATACTCATAATTCACTAAAACCGTGGCCTGTTTAGTTGAAGAAAACTCTGATATAGTCACAGGAATTGAAGAAAGACACTCACAAAGATCTTCTTCAACAGCTCTGATTCTCTTTTTTTTATTTCCACAGCCATCTGCTGCCACCTAGCTCTAAAAGCTCTGCCTGTCACGCAGTGACAAACAAAAAAACAATATTTGCAATATATATAAATAATATTTTTAGACCAATTAAGTGAAATTGAGTCATTTTCTGCTAATGATCTCTCACAGCACACTAGTGTGCCACGGCACAGTGGTTGAGAATCACTGAGGTATAAGAGGACAGAGAGGAGAGCAAACATGAGGAGAGCAGCAGCATACCTGACAGATAATGTTGTCATAGTATGCCAGGTTGTGGCTGTGAGCTTGGGGAGCAGGCGGAGGGGTGTCACAAAGTTTCCTTACGTTTGGCTGAGAACCGTCAGCTGTGGTGGAAACAGAGAGGCCGTCGGTCTGGGGCTCGGTGCTCTGTGGGCGATACTTACTGCAGGGTAGAGAGAGACACCTTTAATTGATGACACTGGCACCAGTAAAATTAGAATCAGTCTGTTGAGATCGTTTATTCTAGTGATGCTGCCACAGACCTGCGTTTGCGGAGGCGCCTGTTCTCGTTCTTGAGGTGGTACAGCCTCTTGGCAAAGAACACAACGATCATGAAGAGGAGGAGAAGCACAACGGAGGCCACGCCCACCACCACACACATCACCTGAAACTCTGTGACCGCCCAGTCACAACGCGTACCCTTGTTCCAGATGTAGTCCTGCGTGTTACACCTACATACAAAAAGGAGAAGCAAACACACGTGACTTTGGCCTTAAGAGGCCTTAAGATGTTTCTCAGACATTTAGGAGCATTCCCAGGTCAACTAAATGTATTTAATTTGTTTTTGTCATTTTTGGCTGTATTGTAGACTAACTTTAATACAATTGGTTGTATTGTAGACTAACTTTAATACAATTTTTGTAATATCAACCACCGGACATTTTTAACCATCTTCACCGCGTTTCTGCACAGACAATAAATGTTTCTGAAGAGCTCATGACATGATGTCCTGAGGTCTGTCTAAAGCAGGGATTCTGGTTGCAGCCAAGTCCCTAATGAGATCAAAGGATCACAGTGCGTGCATTATTGTGTATGTGTGTGAGCGTGTACGTGTGTGTGTGTCATTACTCAGCAGGTATGCTCAGATGAGCAACAGTTTACCTCTCAGCTCAGAGGGAAGCTACAGGGCAGGACAGATGGTGTTATCTATCAAGACATGTGTGTCTCTGTGTGTGTTTGTGTGAAATGTGTGTGAGTGACTCTTATTTAACGTCTGCTTCTCCTCACTGACCTCGCTGCACAGTGACCGTTGTCATATATTCATGTGTCTGTGTCAGTAGTCAACACAATTTTAAAACATACTCAAACGTCCTGCCTCGAAAACGAAGCTAATCCTTTAAAAAGCTCTCTGTGATCTGGACTGACCCTCAGGTCATATTTTATCACCGGGTGCGTGTGCACTTTAAGATGTCTGATGTATTTCGTCGGTGCACAAATTGAAATGATCAACTACCAATGATTACCAGGGTTAATGTGAGGGTCAGCAATTCTGCCCCCTGTTAAAACACTTGGACACCACTGTGTTACACTAACTACATACGATATTAAAAAAATGTTTTGTCTCCTCACCTGCAGAAAGCTCCCACTCCTGCCGCCACCGTGCACACTCCTCCATTGAAGCAAAACTTTGGTTCAAGGTCACACTGAGACACACAGACCCCTGGTCCAGAGCGAACAAAGCCCAGCCTGCAGCCATCTGTCCCCATGGCACCGCCCACATCCAGACTGTTCCCCCGGTCTGGCGCTGGCATGGCAGGGACAGGTAAGGGCGGCCCACTCTCCAGCTTTGGCCTGACATTGGTTGGAAGAGCAAGAGTCACAGCCAGGAGTGTGTTCTCATCCTCCATGTTGGGTGGAGGTGAAGGAGTAGGCTCAGGTTCTGGTGTTGTATCAAGCGCCGACAGGTCATCATCGGGGGACAGGTAGTCATAAAAGTCAGACAGGGTCCACGGTGTGGCGTTTCCACCTTTCTGCTTTTGGGCTTTCGGAGGTTTGGCCCAGGCCAGAGAAGTGTCAGAGGGAACCACATCTGGTGCTGGGCTGTGGAACGCCACAGTGATGACATCATCGGACATGGGGTTCCCAGGCTGGTCTGGGCCGGCCCCACCAGCGGTGAGCTCCTCCACAACAGGCGTGTCTTCCTCCATAAAGTCTAGGTAGGCATGTTTGCGGGAATGGTGATGTTTGTTGGAGGTGACGGGAAGTTTGGCCCCGAGGCCTGCTCCAATCAGGTGGTCTCTCTCTGCAGAGTCATCACTGAGGGCCATCTGGTTGTTCAAGGCCTCCTTGTTGACAGATGATTGGTTGTGGTGGTGATGATGATGATGCTTGCTCACTGAGTGCCTCCCTGTCATTTAAACCAAAAAAACAAAGACTACTATTAGGTTTTTAACAACAAAAAAAACAGTTAAACTGTATTAAAGTTATTATTTTACACACAGCGAAGAGACCAAACAGTGGAAACTGCTAAATTTGAGAGATTTGATTTCATTTCATCAGCCAGATCCTGTAAATGGGCTTCGTGGTGTCTGTTCATTACTCCCTGCGCTTGAAAAATGCCTTTCCTTCCAGAATAAATGTGCTTCTATTTTCGCAGACATTCATTAAAAAATCATACTCTCGTAGCCCGAGCCGAGATAACACTGATGACACCAGCAGGGTTTCTTTGCTCAGACAAGACAAAGCTCCTACAGGGAAACTGAGGAAATCATGCGATTGATTTGCAGCCTGACGGGAGACAAGCAGGGTTTGTCTGACAGCCAGGTGAGAGTCAGTGTATTCAGCACACTGTGGTAAAACTTTTAATAAACAAAAAAAAAAAAGAAAGAAAGAAAAATACACTGAGATTTATCTGTTTTGTTTTATCAAGACTGTGACACCAAAGGCTGAGGCATGAATAATTCATACAGTATTTCCCAGGAAATGCCTTCAGGCTGTACCAGACCAGGAGAATCCTGAAAGATCACCGCTTTCTTTCACTGTGAAATCAGCTGAGTTTGTTATACTGTACATAATGAAACAACCTGCAGAGTTTATTCAGGGTTAGCTGTGGCTCAGCAGAAACTACCTTGCAGGGTTGAAGCTATTTTCAAGATCGTTAATTCATTAATTGGAAAGGAAATCAGGAGTGAGCGGAAACTGAAGACTGACTGTGTGATCAGACTGTGGAGACAGGATTAGACACAGGAGTGACTGACTTTGTGAGGATTAGATTAGGGTTTAGAGCTGTTGGGAGGGGTCTAATGGTCGGGAACTCTGGTCTGCACTTAGGGATCTGCAGGTGATAGACTTTGACCCATGGTTACTGGGCAGGAGTGGAGTCAGGGAACTAGTAATGACCATTAGGTCTGTTTGATGTAAAGTATTTTTATGGAAAATTAGAAAAACAACATTTCTGGGCCTTAGCATGCCAAAAACAATAAATAAATAAATAAATAATCTAGTTCTCTACAGTGACACATAAAGGCAGGACCAGAAAACCATTTATTTATATTCTGTTAGGCAGTATTCAACCTAGTCTTGACACGAGAGAAGAATTCATGGTACTCATATCATGTAAATGTCCTCGGAGGAGAAACTGAAGCTTTCACTGAAGACTCCTCGTTGAAAACTTTGGAAAATATTGTCCTGGCACTTTGGAGCTGTTTCCACAGCTGACTAATTTTTTTAAGAAATTCCACTTCTTCATATTTTTCCACTGCCGAACAAATTGCCGAACTCTCCAGAATACTTGGCCTGAACGATGTCTCTCCCACTACAACCCCTTAAAAACGATCAGTGTCCAATGGGATCACTGCGCTCAGTGTCTGCCACTTCATTCAGAGTTGATACAAAAACCATCTGAACGTGCCTGGAGTCACAAAGACGAGTGGTGGCTGAGGATGAAGCATGATATTCACCTCACACACAGACACGCACACACTCACACTGCTGTTGCCATGGAGAGATGTAAAGACGTGCCATGTTGAAAGGAGAAACGAGGCAAGGCAGTTGCAATGGAAACAGAGAATCCAGTGTTAGTGCTCGCTCTCAGGAGCGGTAAGTAAGTGTTGTGATGCCAACTCAGTCGGTGGGA